AAAACCAAAGATCAACACAGCCGGGCCCAGCTCACACGTCATACGAGGGTCGCTATACTTTGACTGTTGTAAGGATGGAACTCAGTCGATGTCACCGGAGGGTGATTATTTTCTACGAGAACGAATGTGGGTTATAGGAGCAGTAGAGTTTGGATCGTTTATAAACTGCCTCTGGTAATGACGCGCCTTCAAAACGCACTATGTTCCCAAATGTCAAGTACGTGATGCGTGGAATCCGATACGAGTCACCAACAGCCGCAGTAGAGGCCTTCATTGAACTGATCAGAGGGTTACCCGCTCCAGCACGGTAGAGCTGTTTCACGAGACTGTTTGAGTGCAAGGAACTATGCATGAACGCCGGTGGAGAATACTTCGAGAAGATGTAATGCTTATTTTTATCTAACATAAAACTATTTGTGCCTCCGGAAACTTTTGCTCTGCCCTCGTGTCATCCTTTTTGTATATTCACAAAAATTCTTTCACGGTCAGGCTTACATGCTGCTCTATCACTTACGAGAGCAACATAGTTCCACATCTTGTCCTTATTCTAGTCAACCGAGCATCAACACTTACCATTCCCCTACGTTTTTATGTCGGTTTCAACCCTATCTTGTGTGCAACATTCTCCGCTGTGGTAATTCATGAGCAACTGGATGTATAGAACCTATCTGAACTTGACTGGATCACATTCAGCTTCATTTAATCACCTCTTTGTTTCATTTACAAACCCGTGCTGATTTCGCCCGTCGAATGTCTGATGCATTCCGTTTCTCCTTCTAATGTTCCTTGCACATGTACTGCTACACACTGCGCACTTTTTTCTTATCCAGCAAAACGACGACAATTCTAGCGGTTCCTTATTTCTTCTAATTTTTCTCATTGTGGTCCCCTCAATTCACACCTCTTCTCACAAAAATATGATGGTTTTCAGGATCTTCAGTGGATCGAGGAGACCAGTTTAAACAACTTGACTGACGTCTACAAATTGTACTGCTCGAAGGATCCACCGCAGGATAAAACTGCACGGTCTGTGTTCACAAGTGGCACGCGTGAAGAAGTTTGTTCCAAATTTCAAGTGAGTCAATCACAAATTTACCTGTAGTTGTATAAAACAATCCGTTTTTGTTACACACCAATGTGTGATGAGCAGCATTTGGGATAAACTCTATAGTCACGAGGACGTGCTGTTCAGTGATGGAAACCGATGACTTAAGCTCGGGGACTTAGAGTGGCTAACCAAATAAGGCCATGCTAGGTCAGGTGTGGTATTGAACCGGACGACAGCAAAACTGCCTACCATCAACATTGGGTGGCGTTGTCTTAGTGTCATCGTTGAAGAAACCCTGATTGTCTGGTTCGTTTACTTCACGGTCATAATATTACACCACAGATGCCGGTCTCTCACCTCATCCCTGAACTGATGATGTTGCCTAGATGGGCTACGAAATGACATCAAACAAAGCCACAGGTGCTTTGTGTGGGCAAAAATAATTTCGATTTCACCACACTCGCCTTGCATGTTTGATTTAATCTATCACGTCAGCTTATTTTGGTATATTATGTGATTCATTTTGCCCTACAGGTGACACTTGCCTGTGTGAAGGCCTCGGGGGCATCCTTTCATTCAAAAGTTCACATGGTACTATTACCAGCGCTTTGCGCTTTACTCCCACGATTCCATATGCATGAAACCGACTTATCTTCACGTGGCGAAGTCACTCAGAAGAAAGGAGAAGGCCATTAGTTTATTCTGCAACTGCATCTTCCCTGGGTTTTGGATGCAACTTCACCGCGTTCGTTGATATGTAGCACGTGTAGCTTTGAGCTGACATCCGCTTAGTCGTCCCGACTTTGACATGTTTTGTGGTAGCTCAACCAACCCCCGTTTGATAGTTTGAAATTGTGCTGCTTATCTATGGGTCATTTATGAGAACGGACAGCACGTGTGAGTTATTTTTGTCACAATCCTGTGCTCAGCTGGAGAGATGAAGGGATTCGAAATGCCGGTGCTGTAGTTAGTAAGGTCAGAAGTTGAATACTGTGCTGATAATTTTCGTTTTCATTTTGTTGTATACAGCAGCAAACGGGTAATCACAAAAATCGTAAAGATAACCCCGTAGCGCTTGAACTGTTGACACACTGGGTAGCATTTTTGTGGAGTTTGAGTAATATAACGACACTCCATAAAGTCCTTTCGGTGTAACGCGATGTTGGCAGTAACTTGGACTAACCGACCTCTGTCATACAATCGTCCAGTTGGATCTTACTTGCATGTGTTGCTTGATGTTGTGTCTGAGATTGGTTAGGATATTTTTTCGGATTGTCCTCTGCAGTGTATCGTTCTGATAGGTGGACACATCAACCGATGTTAATGCTAAAACTGCCTCCGGAATCCTCAGTATAGTCGGGGGTGGGTGTCTAAGGTTGCGGCTGGTCACCCTTCCCCTGCACCTCGCGAAATTCTCCCATACGAACAACCATCTCAAACAGCCCCTATTGAGGAAGCCCTACTCACTGCCTTCCCGTGGCGGAGGTGTTTTCCCACCAAAGTGAGATGACGAAAAGCCAACCGGATTGATGCAATATTGGCAGTTCACATAAGGGAGTTGGCCAAAAACCTGACTCCAAACCAACCAAGAGAAGGCGGATAAACTACACCCACACGTTCCCGGTTGTGGCAGCGATCACCGGCTCGATTGGGCATCGAGATTTATTGGGCACCTTGGACGTCTGACCCCGTCCGAAGGGCGTGTGAACCGATGAACTGGACACCGGTTCCCAATGGATTACGGTTTTCACACACCACCCCGCTGCCTTGCGGGTCAGGCTTTGGTTGGTCGAAGGCTTCGGTTGTGGATTCCTCAAGAACATTCACCTACCTTGACCTGGGCAACCTGGCAGTATTCCGCAAATCATGGAACGTCTTTCTTTTTCTTAAAGATTTGTTTTGGCACACAGTCTTGATTCAAACGTAAATTACTGCCTAGTAGATATTTCTTTCATTGTTCGATGAAAACTAATAGATTAAAACTGATAGAATATACGCAACATCAGGCTGCACAAGTTTTGCGGAAACTTGTGAACAATGCACGATAGACCACTGAAAAGGATTCTTAGTAGTTACAGAAATAATAAGTACCGAAAGCTGTTTGCACTCTTGGTTCCTCAAACCATAATCACTGAATAATTAATAGTTCGTATCCCGATAATACTTTGCTTTATTGTGCCACATACTTCCCACTTTCTCTTCAAAGGACCTCATG